AAGACCTGAGAGTACAGCGCGCGTCGAGGATTCGCAAGCTTGATGTGAGCCATCCGGTAGATTGCCCTTTCTTCTAGAATTGAGAAGCGGGTCCAAGCGTAATCAACATCCGGCCGCAGCTCACGCACAGGCGGATCAGGCGATAGGTTTCGAGAAGCGCTTTTCTTGTGATGATGGCTGTGATGGCTACTGTCACCACTGCTCTTCTTCCTACTTCCGCCGAATATGGAGGAGAACAGCCCAGACTCCTTCTCTTTCTTCGACTCCCCAGAGGCCCGTCGCGCATTGTCCTTGCGACGCTCCTCTTCCAGTTTGGGATCCAGTCGATCCACCGCAACGCTTTCGCGGCCTCGCTGACTAGAATCGCTTGAGGATGGCAGAGCGTGCGCTGTCTCATGAACTTTGTCCACTAGCTTGGCCTTGAGTTTCTTCGAGTCACTGTCCTTGTCCTTTTTCTTCTCTTTATCTTTATCCTCAGAACCCAGCAGCCAGTGCCAGCTGGATTTGCGGCCACCCTCCGAATCTTTCTTATCTTTCGACTTCTTCGACTCTTTTGTTTCCTTCTCCTTCTCCTTCGAATCAGTCTTGCGATCTTCGAAAGTTGGAATGTAGGACAGGCTGTCCGTTCGGGTGGTGTTTCCAGGAAGAGGCTGTGGGGTATTGGCGAAGTCATTGAAGGTGGGTGTGGTCTCCTTCTGAGTGCGACTATGTGCCGACCGCTTACTTGAGCTTCGTTCCTGCATTCTATCTTGGCCCGCAGGTGCTTTCGGGGACGCATGTGACTGTGAGGTTGGTGTTGAAGGCGTTGTGGGAGTCCCGGGAGGAGGCGTTTCAATGATTTCAGGTATCTTTTGTTCGGACGGTGGAACATCCACCGTTGACCGTCCATTGGAGCTGATCCGTGAGTGCCATTGTCGCGACTGTGCTGGTGCGCTGGCCTTATTCGACGGATCTGACGAGGCTGCATCATAGGAGCGGTCGTTGGCTGGTTGTGATTGTTCCACCGCTGAGTCTACACTGGAGCTTGCTATTGTTGTACTAGTTGTCGCAACAGGGGCCTGGGGTGCGCCTGGCGTCGATTTGGCCGCTGCTTGAGCTCGCGTCGAACTCGGTGTTGGGTCGGTAGACATTCGTGTCAGCCCCAAGACTGCTTGACCTCCAGCTGACCCAGTCGGCGAAGTAACCCTCTCATCTGCATCCGAAGTCCTAGCCACGCGCTTCGAATATGGTGCCTTCTCGCCTTTCTTCAGACTTCCGGCCTTCCTATATTGTGTCCTTGTCGAGCGTCTGAGGCTGTGGCTTGGAGGTGCAGGGGGAAGGATAGGTTTATCCTCGTCGGTGGAAATGCCAAGTTTCTGGATTCCATCGAGGATGTTCGTTGCGTTGGGAACTCGCGGTTTCGAATCGTTCACTATTGTTTCTAGTTCATGCAGGTTGGGCCCCAATGAATCACGTTTCGATTGTGAACGTTTTCGTTCGAGTCGTTCGGCGCCATCTGTATATCCCTGAGAGGTGTCAATTTGCCTGGATAGCATAGACCGCTTCCGCCTCAAGCCCCCTATTGATCCTTCACGCTCCGGGCCCAAGGTAGAAAAGTCGCCTGATTTCCGCTTGATCTGTTCTGTTTTACTTTCAAGGAAAGACTTGAACTCCTTCGGGGCAAGTTCCGGGTGTAAACGGGCTGGAACCCAAAACAATCGCGATGCATCGTTTTCGTCGTCGGAGGGAGAGGGCGCTATGGATGGAACGGAGAAGCTAGGGAGATCAGGGTCATCCGTAGCAGCAACATCCATAGACATCCGCCGGATCGCGGCGAGATTGTTCAGCTCTTGTGCTACGGCGGCCGGGTCGGATTCATAGTCGACATCGTTCAAAGGGAAGGAGGTTGTGGCTGTGTCGGTCGATACGGGGGACGTGGTGGACGCGGGAGACGTTGGGCTACTTTCGGCGGACTTGGCCCCATGCGGCCATGGCTGCCCGTTCGCTTGCCGATTATGATGATCATTGATGTGGTTTTGAACCTGGAGAGAATGTGGGGAGGTAGGAGATTCGCAGCCGGCGAGCTTTGTGGGAATTATAGTAATGGATTCGCTCAACGGGGAGGATATGAAACTGAGGCGTCGAGAATCTCGCTTGTCGTAATCGTCATCGTACATATGGCCAATGGCTTCGGTGACATGGTGACTGGGGTCACTGATCGACAGTTGAGGTACATGGCCTCTTTTCGTTGCATATCCTCCGCTTGGCTCAGAGGGGCTCGGTGAAGCCTGAAACTCACGACGGCATGTTTAGAGACGGTCCTTGAATAATACAATTGAAACAGGGGCTGGAGGGTCCACAACGCATCGCACAAGAGATGCTTTCTTGCCAGGTAAACCTTTCGGTAAGGATAGACCAGAGGCCGAGAGCAACCTTAAGCTTTTTCCAGAGTGTTGTTGTAGGCGAGGGGTACAACGGGGGGGGGGAATTTTTTTGGGTAGAACGCGGACATAAAGAAAGCGACGCACCTGCATGAGAGCAAATTAACCGGGGGACCGGACAGGAAGAGAACGCCCCGGGGTTGGCTGAGGATTAGGAAAGTCGCTTGGTGGTGAGGAGGTCAATGTACCACCAGGGCCGTAAGACAACGCAGAGAAAAGGTAGTCATGGAATCATGGGAGCGGGGAAGAAGCGTCGACGGAGAGGAGCAACCACCAGGGTGACGAGAGGAAAGAGAGGCGGGCGATGACGGCTAGGCATCCGGCGGCCGATGGTACGATTTTGGTGACGATGCAAACGAGAGAAGAGGTAGAATAGGTTTTGAAAAGGAAGAGCGAGTGACGAGGCTGAGGTGGACGGTAGTTGTTCTTCGTAAGAGAAAGAGGATGGGGATGGGAGAGTTGGGAGTTAGTAGTTCGGTGCTGGGAAAGAGTAAGGACCTGGAGAAGGTGGACGAGACGAGGGAAGGCCGCCGTGCTTTGGTTGGCTGGTTCTGGCTGGGCTGGGCTGGCCGCGCTTCAGTTTGGAAGTGGTGGTCGGCCTTGAACAACACCGCAAGAACAAGAACAGGGAAAATAATATTAATAAAAAAAAGTAGGTTTCTGACAAGTAATCCGAAAAAGAATAAGACCCTAGGCGAAAGAGTATTCTATCAGAAGATCCATCGACAGCTAAATCGGGGAATCCGAGGCCAGTGAACAGGAGGAGAAACAAAAGTGTATAGGCTCACTTCTCTCTCTCTCACTCTCTCCACGGATGGATCGATCTTGGGCAGAATATGCCCTCTTAGTCAGCGCGATGCTCCACTGCTGATCAATCTCGATGGCAGGCCACAGTCCGTTCACTTCGAGAAATGTGACTCGATGGTTCTAGTAAAATACCTTGTTCAGTTCGTTTGATTTTTTCCTTCGGGCGATCGCTGATCAGCAGTACCCCGTGCTTTTTTTCGGTGGACTCCAATGCTCGGTAGCACGGTCTTTGGAGCAAATCTTATTCAGTTCGCTAGGGCTCGGAGAACATGAGTCGAGGAACTACCTGGTAGTGTGGACTGGCTATCCGAGAGCTGAGTTTTATTTTTATTTTTTTTTTAGATTGCACAAGGAGGGATTGCAACTCCACTGTTGGTTAGACTACCCTCACTCACGTATGCGGAGTCGATCCCTGTTCTTATAGAGTACTGTTAGGGTGAACTCCCGCCCCTAAATGCAGGCACTGGCAGTGAGATACCACGGAACGCTTAGAGTAGTACTACAATGGAAGGACAAAGGGAAGGTTGAAAGAGGAGAAGTTTAGATCAACTGAATAATGACGACAACAAATCACGAGATGAGAAGAGGGGGAGGGAATAGAAACGGGCACAATGAAACACACAATGAGCTTATCATTTGACGGCAGAATTCATGCATTGGACTCGGAGCACCATTCATCATCCAGAAGGCTGAGCAATGTCGGGAAAGTCTAATGCATAAATTGTCTTGCTCATCTTGTTATGAACCGCCATGGCGGTGATGCGTCTGTTCCGGCATCCCATACATAGATCGACAGGGAAAACCGTCATTCACCAGCTGCAAAACCTTGTGCGGTTCCCCATACATACGCCTGCTGTCTATCTTACCTACAGATGATCGCCTGAGTCATTTCGTAATCTTCAACTCAGAATCTCAGCTGACGTATCTGTCTTCCTTCCATAGCCTCGTCCTCGTATTAGGAAATGAGGGAGATTATCTGGCATGAGAGTGGCATGCCGCTGTTCTTCCAGAAAACTGTAGAGAAAGAACAAGTCTGTCGCACGATGGACTCAATTTTCAATCGCACTGCTTCTCTGCCTTCTCGCGTGAGACCCGGCGCGAGTCTCGTGCCTTGTGTTCCTGACCTCTATTGGCCGAGCGGGCCTCATCCGATGACTTCGAGGATGTTGCGGAGGGGCTGGCTCCACGAGGTCCAATGGCCCAGAAGGATGGGTCCCGGTTGAGTGCAACTTGGTGCAGGAGAGTCTCCCGAGGAATGTACCGACCGCTTCTACTGCAATGCAATGAGCAAGGAAATTGAACGTCGCTGGGAGCTTGACTGCTGACGACTCCTTGACGCTCCTCGGACCTTTCTGACGGCAGCCACCCGTTTCTTTATTCTCGTTAGTCCTCCCTTCCTCGCAAGGGCGAAGCATATCAGCCAAGAAGCAGCTGCAATCGTCTAAAACATGTCCAACCAATTCATGCTTGGCGCAACAACAAAGAGGGAATATTCCATTTTTGACAGTTATAACCCTGCAGTCCCAAAAAAAAAAACAAAACAGCATGAGGGAAGTCTTATGTATAACCAAAAGGTGGTCCAACACTATCACACAAGCATATACTAAAGCTAGAACCATCGCCAAAGCGAACACATACACAGGTGCAACTGTCCCGTTTTGTCACTTATCCGTTCAAAAGCCACCCCGAATCCGCTGGTCGGCCCAACAGGCAACTCCGGCGCTTATACTAGAAAGCCGAAAGGAAAAAGCAAAGAGAATCCTCGGGAACAAAAACTAAAGGGGGTGAGTCTTAAACGATGACATGGAAGCTGAATATCGAACGGAAGAGGAACATAAAAAACATTCGTGAAGGAGGAACATGACGTTAAGGGTGCTCGCGTCGTCAAATATCATTCCGCGTGAGTCCAACTAGGACAAGCCGACTCCTAGGCAGTTTCGACATAGTTACTGAATAGTAATGGTTAGTTCCATAGCCGAGAATGCACTGTTTATGCGAATTCCAGGTCTGCTTACCTTGGGAAAATGCCAACTCGGCCCCCAATCCGCCCGGTCCACCAGTCCTCTTTCTTGTCAGTCCTCTTGAGGATGGTGATGATGTCTCCTTTCTTAAAGCCCAGGTCACCTTCCTGGTCCGCATCGAAAGTATAGAGTGCTATGGCCTGGTCCTGGCGTAGAGCAGGAGCTCCCCCAGTCCGCTGTCCAAACACGGGTTTCGGAGCTGTGGGTCGGCTAGGCTTGCGGTCAGAATATACATAGTCCTCATCAATTGGGGTAGTGTTGCTCCGGCTGCGGTTAAATGAGTCGTAAGTGTCGTTGCGACCGCTGTACCGAGTAGTCGATGAACGGCTCAGCCCTCCAGCAGGTCGATCGTATATATCATCCGCCCATGTATTCGCACGGCGGGGTCGGTCGCGGAAGTCATCTGAACCTGAGCCACTGAACCCAGTGCGATCGCGCCGCGTTCCTTCGCCATACGCCTCGCCCCTGCGGCCCTCCCAAACCACATCGTCATGGCTGTCATCATAAACGGGGATGTCGTTGTACATGTCACTACCATTCCGGGAATTGCCATAGAACGCACGCGAGTTCAACACGGTCAGGAGAGGATCCGCGCCCGGGGGAGGTCGAATAGTTCCGCTGAGGAGCTGGCGTGCCGAGACCCGGCTGTTGTACATCTTCTCGTTCGCATCCTTACGTTCCACCAGCATGCTTCCCTCCAGACTGACACCGGCAAAGAGACCCTTGGTCTTGGAGTATGAGAACACTGCCGCCACACCCTTTGTGCTAGCCGCGCCAGCAGCTTCCGCGTTTCGTCCGACCGGTCCAGCAGCGATCGAAACGTTTCCACCTAGCGTCAGGGTTCCGACCTGCGAGAATGTCCGAACGGCAGCGGCATCATTTAAGATGAATACGAAGTCGGTTAACTCAAACCCGATCTGGCCTCCAAATCCAGCTCCAGCAGTAGCAATGGCCGACGGAGCAGACCAAGTTCCGTCAGCTAGTCGAGCGACAACGACACCAGAGCCGAATCGAGCTGAGCCCAAAAATCCAGCCTTCAGGACAGTAAGAACGGCGAGACCCTAGGGAAGAAAGCGTGAGTGACGATGCGACTTTTGAGCAACAAGCTAGGTATGGATTTTGCTAATTACCTTGGCTCCTGCCAGAATCTCCGGAGGAATCACTTTATCGGGTCCAAAGGCTTGTCGTGGATCGACAAACGAGGCGAGGATTTTGCCCGCCTTTCTACATTCGCCTGTCTGGATGTTAGTCGCAGGCCGAACCACCTGTTCAAGAGAATTGCGGGGAAATTGGAACGAAAGCGGCGCGGAACATACTTCCTAACGATGAAGGTAACGGATTGTGAATTCCGAGAGGCATTCTGGCTATGCTTGACGGAAACTGAGGGCGAAGGGAGGGTTAGGGGAAAAGATGGGGAAGGGAAGAAGGAGTGGAAGGAGAGAGAAGGATGTTGATAGTAGGATGTTCTGCGAAGGCTGTTCGTCTCTATGGGAGCGACCGGAAGTGGAACCAGATGACGGCTGACACCAACTGCGATTTGCAAACGATAAGGCTCTATTATCCAAACTCTGCACTATCCACAACGACCCTATACTGTGCGGTGCTGTGCTAATCGCTCTCTCAGAATGTTCCTGTGCGATGAATAATATACTCATCTGATTCATGGGGAAGGTCAGCAACCGTGGGAATCGAGGGGGCTGTACTCACTCGGAGAGGGGACTTTCCGCAGGCGGCATCAATGAATACGGGGGAGTGTGGCTGGGGCCGCTTCTACCAGCTTCTTCCCTCAGTCTTGTCTTGGTAACTCTCCATTTCCATCAGCTTGAAGTAGTATACACGAAACTATTTCAGAAGCACTCCTCTATCCCACCCGCTATTTCATACCTGCTTTGTTTCATCCCCAGTATTTACTAGTCCAGCCACACTTATAGTAAGAAACCCGACCGGCTGGAACCTGAGGCCGCAAGAACGGCACAGCCACCGCCGAGGCTCCGACGATCATCGTAGTTCCCAGCCGACCGAGTCCTTAGTGACATCGCGTTTCGATTGGCCTGGACTTTCAAATCGGGTTGACCTTGTTCTTCACAAAAGCTTTCTGAAGCATGTCCCAATAATTTGATTAAGGCGTCCTCAGTCGCCTTGAAAGTTTCCAGATCCACAATGGCTACAGGTTCGATATGTTTACGTTGAGCTGCCCACTCATCTACTTACTAACAGCACCTCAGTGCGAATCTGTGTCTGTGGTGATGAGGGCACTGGCAAGTCCAGTCTCATCACCTCCCTTGTGAAGGGGGTGTTCGTTACAAACAAGATCCAGCCCATCCTACCTCAAATCACCATCCCTCCTACGATCGGTACCCCCGAGAATGTCACGACAACGACGGTGGTGGACACCTCCGCTCTTCCGCAGGAGCGCAATAATCTGGCCAGGGAGATCCGGAAGTCTAATGTAATCCTACTCGTGTACTCGGACCATTACAGCTATGAGAGAGTCGCTCTATTCTGGTTACCATATTTTCGTTCTCTAGGGGTCAATGTCCCCGTGGTACTATGTGCGAACAAGTCCGATCTCGCTGCAGATCATACTGAGGCCCAGGTCATTGAGGAGGAAATGCTACCATTGATGGCGGAGTTCAAGGAAATCGACTCTTGCATCCGCACAAGTGCCCGTGAACATCGGAATGTCAACGAAGCCTTCTTCCTCTGCCAGAAAGCGGTTACCCATCCGATCGCACCGCTGTTTGACTCCAAAGAATCCTCCCTGAAGCCGGCAGCCATCGCGGCGTTACAGCGAATATTCTACCTCTGCGATAAGGATAGGGATGGGTACCTCTCTGATAAAGAGATCAAGGACTTTCAAATGAGATGCTTTGAGAAGCCATTGAGTGAGGAAGATTTGATCCACATCAAGGAGACCATTCAGAGGACGCATCCTCATTCCGTGACACCCTCAGGCATTGATTGCCGCGGTTTCTTGCAGCTGAACAAGATGTATGCGGAAAAGGGTCGACACGAGACTGTGTGGATTATACTACGAGCATTCCAATACACGGACAACCTATCACTACAGGAGAACTTCCTTCACCCGAGGTTTGACGTACCCCCTTACGCGTCGGCTGAGCTTTCGCCAGAGGGGTATCGATTCTTTGTGAACCTCTTCCTACTCTCGGACAAGGATAACGACGGAGGCCTGAATGATGCGGAGTTGGCGTCGCTGTTTGCGCCCACCCCGGGATTGCCTGCTTCATGGGCAGACGGTTCCTTCCCATCCTCTACCGTCCGCAACGAAGCCGGCCATGTCACACTTCAAGGATGGCTTGCGCAATGGAGTATGACTACTTACACGTCGCCTAAGACAACACTGGAGTATCTGGCCTACCTGGGCTTCGAGTCGTCCGACCGGAGCAATCCTTCTACAACAGCAGCGCTGAAGGTTACGCGACCACGAAAGAGACGCAAGCGTCCTGGCCGTGTGGGCCGCAATGTTGTTCTTGGTCACGTCCTTGGGGCTGCAGGCTCAGGCAAATCTGCACTCCTTGACGCTTTTCTCTCCCGTGGATTCAGTACTACTTATCGCCCCACGATCCAGCCGCGAACTGCTGTGAACACAGTTGAGCTTCCGGGAGGGAAACAGTGCTACCTCATCCTCGATGAGCTCGGGGAACTGGAGCCTGCCCTCCTCGAGAATCAGGTAAAACTGCTGGACCAGTGCGATGTCATCGTGTACACGTATGACTCGTCAGATCCCGATTCCTTTGCATACATCCCAGCGCTGCGCGCCAAATATCCTCACTTGGAGGAGCTTCCCAGTGTTTTTATTGCACTCAAGGCAGACTTGGATCGGACTACTCAGCGGGCCGAATATCAGCCCCACGAATACACTGCTATGTTGAATATGCCGAGCCCTCCTCTTCATGTCAGTGCCACTTGGAGCTCCATCCAGGAGGTGTTTGTCCACATTGCAGAAGCAGCCATGGAGCCAAGTACGGCCTTCCCGCGGAGTGAAGAAGATGTGGAAGGCAAATGGATGGCATGGGGAATTGCTCTTGGGGCAGTAGTTTGCGCTGGAGCGGCGGCCGTCATGATTTGGCGGAGAGTTAGTGGAAGCGGAGTGTGACGGGGCGAACACTGTCGTATTCCTGTGGAGTCAAATAGATACCCTTGAGTCTGTATATTGGGTTGTTAGTGTGTTTGCCGGCAAAAGTATCGCCAGTTAACCGACTAGTAAGAAGTAATAAAGTATGCATAATGAACGGTCTAATTACGGCTGATGATCCACTCGCTCATTTCAACCTGCCATGTCGGCCACGAGAGTAGATTAGTCCCCATAGAACCGGGGCGGCACGACGCAAGAGTGATTGACTTTGGGCTATGAGGACTAGTGTGGGTTTTTGGCGCCGTTAGCATTGGGGGGGAAAGAAGAGGATTGACTGAAGCCTGGCAGATTGGCGGCCCCACGCGCCAACTTCGACCAACCCCGGAAATGGCCGCCCGCTCGCTCTTCTCTCTGGCTTCAAATCCCCCGTCGCTTGATCCCCCCCAGGATATAAGGCCATTGCGCAAGTTCCTACCCGGACACTCTCCCCGCCTCTCTCTCCTCTCCGTCTTCCACTCCGGGGTATATAACCCAACGATATCCAGCTTCCTGCGAGTTCACAAGTGACTTTCCCGCGAGTCTCCGCCCCGATCATCTCCCTCGTCCTACTAGCCAACAGAGCGTTCGCCCATTCGAGAGCCTCGGTCCCGCCCTCTCTCCCTTGCACGAACGACGACGACGACCTGCTTCCAGCCCTTCCATCTGGACCAGTCCTCTTACAACCCAGGAACGTTACAAGCCACCCTGAGTGGCACCGTCAAGGGTGCCGCTCTTGGGGGGGAAGGGAATTCGCTACGACGATTGTCTGACAAGCCTATCGCGCATTCCTAGGCCCTTGTCACACCACCCTCCAAAATCCTTTTAATTTATCGCTGATTGACCGGTGTGCTCTTGTGGTATCCGCAGCCATGTTGTAAGACTTGCCCTCCCAACCCAAAGCTGAAAGCCCGGTTATCAGCGTCCTTGGTCCCTTATCTCCGCCTCGTGGGCGCATCATACGTCGGCCTTCAATTCCCTGGAGGTCAAAGAGCGCCACTACCTTTCAGCCCTATCTACATTTATTATGACGACTCTTTTGCGTCTCTTCGCCTGGCTGACCCCTTGATCCAGCGTCCTTCCCCCACCTCCGCCTCGCTATACCGTCCCCGTCGCCTATGCGGCCGGGGCGTCGAATGGCATGGCGGTGCCAGTTGTAGAGACCAACAATATCATCAGCCATCCTGAGGGTGGCTGTCCCTTACAAGCCGGAGAAGGTGTGTTTCTGAATGGGCGCATGCTCGCTCATGCACGTCGCCGCAAGGTTGCTTGGATTTGCTGATTGACGGACTTTATGATAGGCACTTACCTCCTCCGAGATGACCTACACTTAGCCACCCCTCCTCCACATCCCTCCGAAGCCCCCGTCATGAATCCCAATCCACTTGCGACCGTTCCGGCGCCTCCGACATCAGGTGTCAAGCTCTCGCTGGTTAGCATCGGTAGCCGGCTCAAGACCCCCACACCCTCCGTGGATGGCACAGGCGCAGCATCTTTATTTGGAGATGGCAATCCAGCTCTCGCGGCACCACCTGTGAAGGAAGGGTTGAAGAGGAGGAAACCGAAGAACAATATCATAAAGAGCAGCTCGTCATTCGTCTCGCGGGTCATTACGCATGAGACAGCAACCAAGCGATTGAACGATCGGAATCCGGATGGCCTTTTTGCCTTTGCAAACATCAATCGTGCCTTTCAGTGGCTGGATCTCAGTGCTAAGCAGAAGGAAGAGCCCGTCACCAAGATACTGTTTACCAAAGCGCACATGATAAGCCACGATATCAATGAGCTAACCAAGAGCACATCACACATAGATGTTGTCATGGGTTCCTCGGCTGGAGACATTATATGGTACGAGCCAATGTCTCAGAAGTACGCACGTATCAACAAGAACGGTGTTGTCAACAATTCTCCTGTGACGCATATCAAATGGATCCCCGGCTCAGAGAATCTGTTCATGGCTGCTCATGCGAACGGACAGCTGGTGGTATACGACAAGGAGAAAGAAGACGCTCTTTTCACACCAGAACTGGGCAGTCCGTCGGCTGAAACGATGAAGTCGTCGTCGGGGCGGCAGCCACTGCAAATCCTGAAGTCGGTCAACTCGAGAAATCAAAAGACCAATCCGGTTGCGCTGTGGAAACTCGCCAACCAGAAAATCACGCAATTCGCCTTCTCGCCGGACCGCAGACACTTGGCTGTTGTCTTAGAGGATGGATCGTTACGAGTTATGGATTACTTGAAGGAAGAGTATGCTGCGACCACAATCTTGCCACCTTGCCGGTATCGGAAGGCGTGGGCTAACATCTTGCTAGGGTTCTGGATATTTTCCGCAGTTACTACGGAGGGTTAATATGCGTCTGCTGGTCGCCGGACGGAAAATATATAGTAACCGGAGGCCAAGACGATCTTGTAACGATCTGGTCGTTACCAGAGCGCAAGATTGTCGCACGTTGCCAGGGCCACAACTCATGGGTCTCTGCGGTAGCTTTTGACCCATGGCGCTGCGACGACCGTACTTACAGGTTTGGTAGCGTTGGTGACGATTGTCGGTTGCTGCTATGGGATTTCAGCGTGGGCATGCTGCACCGACCGAGAGTAGTACGTTTACCAACAATAGACACGGATTCCTAGTGTTCTAACCCATGAAATAGCATCAAGCCAACGCCCGCCAACGCACCAGCATGATCGTCTCGAACACGCAACACCTCAACCGTCACCGAGCTGATAGCGGAGGAAACCGAACGCGATCCGATTCTCAGGAGACCGCAGATACCTATAATAGTTATGATCCGACCGTTCGTCATCCGGTGGAACCCAGAGCACGAACCGCCCTCTTACCACCGATCATGGTAGCTATCACCCCCTTGAGTATATTCCGCAATTCTCAGAAAGGCTAACTTACTCGCGCAGTCCAAAATCGTTGGTGAAGACCCTATCTGCTGGCTAGGCTTCCAAGAAGACTCCATCATGACATCTTCACTCGAAGGTATTACCCAACATCCCATTTTCCTCCTTTTCTCCTTAGAAAGTTGTTAATAACTTTTCTCTCACCAACCAGGCCACATTCGCACCTGGGATCGTCCCCGAGAAGGCATCAACGACAATTACAGTTATTCGCCTGCGATCAGTGCCAGTGCCACCGGGTCTGGTCGTGCTGACTCGATGATGGGATCACTGTGAACATTACTATGACCCCAGGATCGGCCAACTATCAAAGTAGTTCACAATCTCGTAGCTGCTCTGTAAATATGTATGTAAACAACTATCGAATTAGGAAATATACCCATGATTCTAATTTTATCCGGTAGTATCATGGTCTATTTTGATTACCTGGACATGTGTTATGGACGAAACACGGGATAAGTGCACGGTAGCAGTAAGTACACCGTAGTATTCGCTGCAATGCATAAGATCTATCCAATCGACCTAGCTAGTTACCAGCCACATACTACTTACTTACTCGTAATACTGTAAGTACTGTGTAGTGTTTCGCAAATATCGGAATGAACCGACTTGTCCCAGTCAAGTAGGCTGCAGTACTACTCGATTGATGTCACAGTCACACCGGCGCTATATTGGTCATTAGATAAACTAAGACACACATGACACATAATACCGCATCCATGATATAAAGAGACTCCCTGTTAGTTATTCACTGGTAGCCAACAGAAGCAACCAAAAAGAAAATTCAGCCACATAGCATTGCTATATGATCCCCATTGGGTTGTGAGATGCAACCACTATGTAGTAGACCTTATTACACTATGAGATCAGGCAGCCACTTACCCAAATATATATATGTAGAAGATACTGTATGGAAACTAATCACACATTTGGCAGGGCTCTGGGCGGGGCTCAGCTGCATTTTGAATTGGGCTGGGTGCATTATATGTACTGTTGTATGTGCTGCTAAGTATGGAATAGTAGTACTCTCTAGTATATACTAGTGGGACAGGGTGGACTGTACTACTAAGTAGTTACCTACTACTTGAATGCAACGGAGTCCCCGGGACAGACTGTATGAAAATGACCTGTTCGGTTCGGTAGTACGAAGTAAAATACTATTGTAGGTAGTTTTGGGTTGAGGCGTTCAATATTAATGTGAGTATCGAATATGTGCATGGTTGAGGTACATGGAGCTTGTCTCTAGTCGGAGTTTATTGTGAATGCTGAGGTGTGTTCAGACAACTGTAGATAGACTAGTTTAATTAATAGTGTCTTTTGCCAGAGTGAACCTCCTTGCAGGGTACTAATGAATTAGGTTTGCCAGCGCCGACGTGCATGATCGCGAGTGCCGCGCTAGTGATGTATCATATCTAACATCGGCAATGAAGGGAAGTTTGAAAACACAAAACGCATGGTGATAATATTGTATTAAATGATTGTGGAGAACGAGAGAAGGTGTAACAGTGCCATGAATCCATTTCCATCTGCGCATTTAAAACTATGTATCAAGGGAAACCAATAATGTACCAATATCACATCACTCGTGGAAGGACGTCAAAGATAGACAATAAGAAAGGAACGAGGGGAAGGGGAAGGGGAAGGAAAGCGGGGAAGGGAGAATGTGTGAGGGGAAGGGCAAAGAAGCGAAAAAGTAAAGTTGGAGTAGTAGATAATACTACACTCATCACTGAAACATGAAGCTGGCTCGGTTGGCCTGCGTGTCATGTTCTAATTTTGGAGTCGATCATCCGAGAGAAACGAGGTTACGAGGGTCGCTGTCATGTCGTGCGGGTCGGTTCGATTCAGGTTTATCGATCGCTTCGCTGACCGGCTTGTACGACGTCGAGGTGCCTGTTTCTTTCACTTACAGAATCTCGGCAATTACACCCATTGCGAGGGCACCGATCACGGCGGCGGAGCCAGGAAGCGTGCCCGTGTACGCGGCAGATCCGGCAGACGAGGAGGTAGACGCCGCAGCTGTCTGGGTGGCGCTAGTGGTGGCTGAAGCTGTAGGTAAGGTATAGAGAACACGGTTAGAGACCCGTCTGTTTCACATCCTGTACGTACTCACCCGGTGTTGTGGAGGCGGAGGGAGCGGTGCTAGATGGTGAAGTAGTCTGGTGATTGATGCAGGGGCGGGAAGTGGTTTTTGTGATGATGGTGCTGGTATGTGGGCGGATACATGGTGATGGTGATGATGACGGTGAAGATGATGATGGTTGTGATGGTGACGGTAGTGATGATGATAAAATAGAATTTTCCTTACTTGTTTCAGCCTTGCCAACTTTGGTCACATTGAACTGCTGCGACTGGCTCAGGATGCCGGTGTTCTGGGTGGTGTTGGATTCGGCGTTGAGCTGGTAGCCCTCACTATGCGCGTTCGTTAGGATCGTACAATATATGTCATGATAAGGCAACTGGGCTGTTTGAAGATACATACGCAACTGGAATACCGATGACCTTGTCAACGGTGTATTTGCTATCCGATGTTTTGACATTGGCGATCTTCTTGCTGACGGTGGGCTGGCTGTTCATGTTGACCAGTATGAGATCGAAGTTCGTAGGGTCAGAACTGATTCGGAATGAATTAGGTATGTGTGACAGTCAATGGGCCCGTGTTCACTTACGCCACAGTCGTCCACTTGATGGTGTAGGGCTTGCTAAAGTCCACCTGGTCACCATTTTTAGGCTGGGTGATTGTAATGGCTGTGAATGCCGATGTTAGTCCAAGGTAGATGATGCACAATCAAAGGAACATGTACCCAATGCTGTAACGGCGAATGCCATCATCGAGACAACAATGTTCAAGAAATGCATATTGATGGTCTATGTTCGACGAGTGAAGCTGTTCGAAGCGAAGGATATGGTGTCTAAAATGGAAGAGTAGCGATAGCAGGGCTAACGAGCGTTTTCGGATCGTAGGATATTTGATGGCTTGAGGGAATTGATGAGTTCGATGAGCTGGGTTGAGGGGACCTTATAAATGTATGGATGGAGGATACACCGCAACGAGCCACCTCATGGCAAGGGTCCATCATGGCGATATCTGCCTGCTTGTGCCGCGTTTTGATCCTTCTTACTTTTCCTGGTACCCCTGTGTTTCCCTGCAATATCAGCCGATAGGAAGAGAGAAAGGCAAGTAACAGATGAAGGAAAGCCAAAAGTTGTCTATTTCGGGCACGCCTGCTGCCAAGGGTCTGGCGTGCATGCGAGGGGGGCTGCAGATGATCTGTTCGCCTCCTCGAACTTTCAGTCCTGTGCTCCCGATCTCCTTCTCCAGGGAGGCTCCAGGAGTTTTGATATGCATGAGACGCGTCTAGTGGGCAGATCTTGACGGCAACTGCATGGTAAAACTCAATAAGTCTCCACCAAGACCAAAGGAGGATCCGCGCCCGGCAAAGATAGGGCACCTCGTGTTGCAGGGCGTGCTCTCCCCTTCGAGGGAGAACGAGGATACCCCTCCTTTCCGCCTTTCGGGTTTATGAAGTTTTGTTTCACCAGCAGGGGACTCCCAAGATGGTGCGTCGGATTGGTTATCAGTCAAAGATTAGCATAAAGCGCAACAATACCGTCGGATAGTCATGGAAGGAATCCTATGCATTTTACAGAAGGGTTTGAGACGCTAGTGCTGCAAGCTACTCAGCACAGGCTGCATAGTATGCAAAGGTTTCACTAGTGCCAACTGAAAAAAAAAAAAAAAAGATAGTGATGGACCCGAGAACATGTTGGCCCTCCAGATAATATGGAAGCCACTAAACATCATGACGGTGCGAATCTTCGATGGCGTTAGACTCAACCTTGTATGTCGATGACGCGGTGCTGCTTGTTGGTGAAACAAGCATATTCGATTTCTCATCTGTTCATCTGTCGACTGTTATTGTGCGAGCCTAGACCCTGGAAGAGCAAAGTCAACGATAATTATCCTTTAAGTACGCATATGCGCATGTTGAGTTGGGAAACACCGCTTACTGTTCTCCCGCTCCTTTGCTGTCGGAGACGAACAGAGGTAGATAATCACGTCGTACACATCACACCGCACTAGCTATGGCGGGCACTGGATAGGTCATATTGTGGCGACGCACGAACTCGCCTATTGAATTTTGCTTCCTCTTAGAGGCCATCTGGGACGCGTGTTTGTACGTGTGTATCGAAGATAATCAGAGAACTGCACGACCAAGAATTGTGCGTCAACCTGCTAATTATAGTTGAGGATGGGCTCTTAAGAGAGTCCTGAGGTACTGAGAAGAACCATTAGGGTTATGCAGAGCAAGGAAGCTCGACGATATGAGGTGCAGCACTCACTATAGTATCTATATGTATGCGGTGAATGGAAGGTAGGCTAGCGACACTTTCGAAAATTGAGGGTCGGGAAATTGTCTTCAAGAAACTAAATTGATGACAGAGCAAACTGACAAACAGACATGTGACCACATGCTACATCACCTGTCAGGGGAGATCTTTCGCTTTCAACGTCCTCATAAACGATCAGTCTTAGCCTTTCCAATTTATATTCAGTGGATCCACACATCTCAATCCATGGAAATTGCCTGTCAAATGATCTAACATTCCATGAATAGATTCTATGCTGATGGTGAGATACTGAATGCCTTGTTTGGAAAGTATACAGATTCGCTTTCTCACTACATGGCAGTGAGGCGGCATGCCAGGTCAGATAGCTTCATATATGCACCAGAGATACTAATCATCACAGTAAAGCTCGCAGCTCAATAATATGCCACATGGTTTCTCGTGCTTCCACCTCTTAGCAGACGGAATTGTCACCCCTTCAACTAGTTGGACATTGTCTCTTTTGGTGCTTCACGACTGGGTTTGCGCCATCTGGGGTAAAGGATGAGCCCGACGCATATAAAATGTGTATTGCATCCATCTGACTAGCTCTGCATTCTGCACATCTTGTTTACACTCCCCCATGCTTAGCATCAAGGAGCTAAAAAAACCCTGTCTAGCAAAAGTACCGAGCTTATGCACTCGAAGGCCGAACACCATATCTTCCAGGTCTTTACGTCTAATTCTGGGTAACACGCGTGAGCAGTCTCCACTTCAATAAGCCTGTGACCCATCATTACCCCGGACCTTTAGAGGCTCCGGAACGCTGGTGTTCATGCGTCTCAGCTGCAGGGGCTCGTACCAGTTGGCCGGTGTACTGACGCTAATCGATCCATAGATTGCAAGAGGGCTTTTGAAAGTCATCTACGCCAGTTCCAGAGAAGCGGCAAGAGGAGTTCATTCCGAAACGAGTGATAGACTGGTCGGCATGGCAGCATCAAGCTTGTTAGATGAATAAGAGACTATGCATAAGCTCTCCGCCATACTTGGGTTCTCGCAAGTTCGTTTCAGGACTACCTACACAAAACCAGCCAACGCCCATACAAGACAAATCAGACGCAGGTAGGGGTTGGTTGGCAAACCCTGCAATCGGCGGGTCGCTGCTTTTGACAGCTGAAATGGACTTCGTCGGCGCCAAAGTATTTGATTTCCAAAATCGAGAACCAGCGCAACCACCTTTTCGTCTGTCATGGAGGTATTATAACAGTAGGCTGGAATTAGCTTCATGGGGACGTGCACCAGCCGATGTTCATCATTAAAAGCAGTCAATTTGCGCCATAAACACTGCCACAGCGACCAAGAATGGCTAGGCTTGCACTGAGAGCACAATACACTGTCCAGGCCTTTTTCGACAATGCTATTATACTTTAATCGGTCTCTACGCATTAAGGTTTCCCGTATGTCGTATTGAAGATGTGTTAAATGCTGATTACAACAGGAGTGCAAGCACAGTATGGATTTAACTCAAGCTGCGCGGCTCCTGCTACATATACAACCTTAACTCGGCGATATTCCCCATGTTTGATGGAGACAGGCTGTGGGGCAGCCTAGAGGCAGGGGTCAAGGGGTCACGATCTGACACGTTCTTGGATGCATTTGCGCAGGAATCTAGGGATGTGCCACACGAGGACGCGCGCGATACTATCCTTGATCCCACATCCCCCTCGCATTCATCGGTATGCTTCCCGTGAAGCTGGGCCTTGGTTCAAGCAATTCGCGTCCGAGAATTGTCACCTAACGGCGAATTGAGGCCCTTTTACCCCCTACGCGTCCCTTCGTGCTCACATTCCTTGGGATCCCATCACACCCATGGGAGGAGATTGTGCTACATCAACTAATTTTGGAGATTCCTCACCCTTGCAAGCATTATTAGGAAAAGCCCAAAAGCCGGTAAAAACAATGAAGGGGATGCCAACAATTGCAATGTTCCCACAATTGCGCGATGGTGCACATACACAGCATGGCTTCTCTCACAAAAGAGTTGGTTACGAATATGGTTTGCCAGATGAATGCAGTGATCCATGGTTTAGCTATGTGTGCTGGCTTAGCCTAGGCATTCTATTCGCTATGCCTCATCAACATATCATGTTTCGTGATCAAGCGGGCTTTTATGATATATAAACCAGGGCTTGTTCACTTTAGTCTTCACTTATGCAGTTCTCGTTCACATCCCAATCAACCCTTGTTTTTGCCCTTCATCGCTTGTCACTCCCCTAGTTTCAAGCCTGGCTTAGTCTGTCTTTGGGTATTCAGAGCAACTCTCAATAAGCCTGAGTCATCATGAAGGCCCAAACAGCGGCAATCATTCTGTCGTTCTGCAGCTCTATCCTCGCTGTTCCTGTCCACAACCCGAATGCTAAACGGGCTGCTATTCCGAGTGGCCAGCCCCAATGGCCCGCCAGTCCTTTCGGGAGCGGATTCCCCTTCACTGTTGGTTCCCACGGGGCCAAGGAACAAGCTCCTGGCAGCAGCAGCATAGCCACTCCTTCGGGCGCCCCATCTAGCGTCCCGTCGGGGGCTTCCCACGGAATCCCACGGCCTGTCGCAACTCCCTTCCCTAACCAACAAGTCCATGGACCCTTTTCCATCAATGCTCCGCCAGCCAATGAGGCTGCTTCCAGGCCGACGGCAACCTCAGTGAGCGCTCCAGCCGGGCCAGTTGCTGGCGCTGGAAGACCTCAAAGCCAATCCTCCCAGGGTTTCCCGCCATACGGACAAGAAGAAAGCGCGCCACCTAGTGGCGGTCTTTCTGGAGGCCCGCCCTCAGAGGGTTCTGTCCCGAGCAGCCAAGACCCCGGTAGCATTGATACGTCCTCTGCTTACGAAGACGGGTATTATGTGGGATACACCCCAACTGGCCACTCGACTGTTCCTTCCAACAGCGAGCCTACTGGCATTTCTGGTGGCCAGACTGGCCAGTATCCAGGTGCTCAGAACACTGGCGTTCCTGGAGGTCAGCAATCTCAGGGCTACCCTCCGAGCGGACAGTATCCTGGTGGTGAGTCCACCGGGTCGCCTTTCGGAGGTCATTCTGAGGGCACAAGTGGCGAGTACCCTTATGGCCAATCTACTGGAGTTCCTTCAAAAGGAGGATATGCTCCTAGTGGTTCCCAGGCTAGTGGGCAATACCCTAGTTCTGGCTCCGGATCTGTGTACCCAGGTGAAGGATCAACAGGTTCATTTGGCAGCAGCTACCCCAGTGAACAGTCGAGCGGACGACCCTCAACCAACGGCTACCCTAGCACTGGGCACTCCACAAGCTCTTACCCCAGTACTGGATACTCCGAGGGCCCTTCATCTGGAGCATCCTACCCTTCATCTGGACACTCCGCAGGAACTTATCCTAGCTCTGGTCAATTCGAGAGCCCCTCCCAAGGTACCTATCCTTCCACTGGAAAGTCAACGGGCTCCTACCCTGGTTCGGGACTCTCTGGAGGTACTTCGGGCGCCAGCTATCCTTCGTCTGAGCATTCAACGGGCAGCTACCCTGTATCGGGCTCTTCTCAGGGCCCTTCCAGTGGCACTAGCTTCCCTTCCACTGGTCACTCCGCGAGCACCTACCCTGGATCTGGGTATTCTGAAGGCCCTGCGTCCGGAAGCACCTATCCTTCCTCCGGACACTCCACGGGCAGCTTCCCTAGCTCTGGATATTCCGAGGGTCGTCCTTCCACCGGAGCTAGCTACCCTGCCACGGGTAGCTCCCAGGGTGGATACCCCGGGGCTTCTCAGGGTGGACACGGATTCTAAAGGATGTAAAATGAGAAGTTAGTGGTGAATTTGAGGTAGAAGCGAATTCAGCGTTAGGTAATATAATGTCAATCTCATTTAATGTTTTATCTTGCAATAATGAGTGTGGGCTCTTGTTCAGGCTGAAGAATAAATATGGTCATCAAATTTGGTACAGTAGTAGCTCTTGCATTTGTGACCCTACCTATAAATAGCTCGACCATGGCGAAGTGAGCTTAGTTTACACTCACTATTAAAGCTGCTATATATTCGTGGCGTTTTGGAATAATAACGTAATCATGGTGTCCTCTTCTCAGACAATGAATGCAAGAATCTATGTGCTATTGACATTGATCATTACATGGTATGTAATATTTTGAACCTAGTACCTTACAAAAAAAGGAAAAGACAGTCAGTGGAGTGCAGTGGGTTGCTAAGTAATGGTAGTATATATATATTCAAAAGAATGCACCTAGTACCCGCAGTGATAAGTAGTACCAATTGCGGAAATCTATTTAATGAAGCCAAGTACTATATTAATATGATCTTTCTAGATATAAACATACTTCATATATGATATAACTTGACAGAATTATATGATATCATATCACTTGCACTGCAGACGTCAACCCACCGAATTAGAAGTGTCAACTCCCAGTCATGATTGTGTACCAACTTAACAATTATGTAAAACTCATCCATAACTCCACAATTTCCGAGGATTCCCTCAAATGATGAATATACACCTACTTAATAGATTACCACAAACTAATCAAGCAGTTCCTATTGACCTCGAAGCTTAATTATACTACCTTCCCCCGGAAACCCCCACATGAGGCATTTATCCCACCCACCCATTCCCGATACTACTACTATATATACTTAATAATTCTCCTGCACATCATCACCACCAACCAACCAATAAATTACAAATACTTTATCACACCAATCACCCCTGGTAAGAAGGATCTCCCCAATTTATTTTATGCAAGGGGAAGAAGACCCAAAACAAGCTTTGACTCGACAAAGGCTTGTTGGGACTTGGCTTTGGTCTGTTCGTACTTACTTACTTACTCACTTCACAGTACATTAAGTACTTAGTAAGTTATTGGCACCGGTCTCGTCTGGTTCCTGAGGAGGGTTAGGGGGTTATTGTACAGTATGTAAGTAACTGCGTTTGCTTTCATGGGCGTTATGTGGATTTGAGGTTTTTTTTTGTATTACTACTACTATACTTAACTAATCGATATGTGGATGGATGAATCATTGTTATGGGTTTTAACGATACTCCCTCCGCGAAAGTAACATGTTATAATCATATTCTATTCATGTTAAGAAGTAAATGGTGGTTCTGCTAAACATCAGTAACTACTAAGTAGTTCTAACCTTTTTATCTCGCCCCCCCCCCCACATACACTTTTTCACACATCTTCTATGGAATTTAACTGTATGAACTGACCCGGTTTAACCGACATTAAATACTTACAGTAAAAATTCATGGAGGGCTGCATGATCGATCAGATGACGGGGATCATCATCATCAATCAACCAGCTGGACCTAGAACCATCTGAACTGCAAAGCACAAGCAAGCCACACATGATGACAATTTAAACCATCCACCCACACCGCCGGACTTAGAACCGGCTTTGCTCACCGCTACTACAGTATGCATACATACATACATACAACAACTTACATATTTACTTTACTGTACATGATTCAATACATGATGCATCCATTGATAATCTATCAAATTTTTCATCCTTTCTAACCGGTTTATTTATTTGTAACTTACAGAGTAGATACCGAAAAGAGTGTTTCGGTGTCTGCGTCTGTCGTACAAAATGCTTAGCGCTCTATTGTTGGTTCGCTGCAGCTGCTGAGTTGACGTAATCCCCGATTAGGATTGCTACCTGTCTAACAGGCATCTGCGTTGTCCCTGATGAGAAGAATGATCGATCCACTGCGGATCGGGACATGGAAGGAACGATCGCACTCCACAAACTAAGAATAGTCTTTCTTGATTGAGACAAAGAGACCCGCTGTCTATCGTGTGAAGAACGCTGCAGAAATCAGCTCTATGTATGCGGGCAGTGAAAAAGGCAGAGCGAGTGACTCAAGACAATAGCAAAGAAAAAAAGGCCTAGGGAGGGTGGGTAAAAATATGCAAATGTACACAGGGATAGACAAGACCCGCGAGGGTAGTGAAAAGAACCCGAATAATAATAAAATAGCAATAGTAATCTTTATAAAATTGGATGCTATAGTTTAGTGTCACTCTCGGACTGCTAAATAAAACACAGATAAATCAGGCATTTATCATCATCTCTCATCAAGGTCATGAAGACGTGGGTGTCACTCAGACGGTGTGGAGGTGGTGGTAAGGTGCCGCGAACGGACCACAACACTATGTAGCAAGCCGCGTCTCATCGAAAAGCAGCCTTACTGCACCCATGGCGGCGCGTAGAAATTGCCATTGCTGTTTTCGCTCATGGGGGCGGTATTGGGGTCGAAGAGTCCCACGTTCCAAGCGGCCTCGGTTGGGGGCGTGGCCATCGACATGCTGGCAGTCGGCGTAGTCACCGGTTTGAAGGTCTCAGCATTTGACATGGAGAAGGCGTCCTCGGTCGGAAGTTGCTTGGCTTCCATGCCCATGGTGGCCTGGAGCTGATGCTCCAACGCCGCGGTGGACTCGTTGGCCGACTTGAGGAAGTCGTCAATGTCAATCGACTCAAGGTTATTCGATGCCAAGAGCTGTGCC